TTATCATACAGCAAATCCCATCTTTCTAAATGACTTGTCTTACATGCAAGTACACGTTTTTAATGTTGTCTGTTCTGGGCTGTTCTTATAAATGAAGAAACAGTACTATGTGATTAATGGTGACTCTGTATATTATACTAAAGGTACTTTACTTTGTAGGATCACCAAGATTAAAAACCTTCATTAAAAACATTTCATTTCCTCCAGCATCCCCCATCTATAGTTTACTAAGTTGCATTTATTTTTATAATAGAATTCTGTTACCTATTTATATGATTAGCTAATGTCTAAGAATGAGCATTAAATTATCCCTAATTCACTTTCTGTGAAAGAGTAGATATTTCTTCTGCTGGGATAATGCTATTTGTTCTTCAGAAGTACTCTATTATCAAAACACACTGAGTTGGTGGCATCTTCAAAGAACACACAAGCCCAGTTTTCCAGGGAATAAATTGTTTTCATCTATAAGCTGTCACTTAGCATTGCAAATGAAATAAATACACAATCCTTTTCCAATATAAACATGAAATAAGGAAAATAAGGCATATCCTAACTCTGCTTCGTGCTTGGTGTATCAATTGGGATCTTATATCCTTTCTAATGGAAGTTAATGAAAGATTTTAAAAATTCTTAAAGAAATGACAGTAGATGGTTTGGCTCTCTTATCTCAATTTCCAATTCTTAGTCATATTTATTTCTTCATGGTTCTCAAAAGAAAGTTGCTAGAAATAAACTGAGCATTCCATTACCACTCCCGAATTTAGTCTTCTCTTACAACAAACTCATCTTAAAAGAATTTTTGAAAACCTAATGACAAAACAACACCAACCAAAACAGGAAAAGCTACTCTTTGCAGCTGCTCAACTTAAAAGGTAGCACATTTATATCACTCTTTCTTTTATAAATGTCAAAGATTTTATTTTTGGGTCATAAAAACCTATGAAAAACAATTTTCAGAGTTAATAAGACAACATAATAAAAAAAGGAAATGGTGACTATAAGACCAGATTACAAACACCATGAAAAAGTAACATATTATGGATGTACACTTGACAGCAATCCTACACATACAGAATCTACTTCATTAATTTTAGAAATGCAATTCCATTTTCAGAGAAAAAAAGGCTCACATCTGTTAAAAACAACAAAGATCTAGGGACAGAGGTGAGACACAAGAAAATGCCTGAAGTGGACTCTGTTCATTCAAGCAGATAATCAGAATGAATTATTTACAAGCATACTTTTATCTTCAGCACCACTAAGAGCTCAATTCTAAAGAGCTCAGGCAAACTGTAACACATCTGCTAATCAAAAATAAACAGATCGAAGGGGAAATGTTCCAATAAAACCCATGTATAAGACTAGAGAGACAGCGATGAGAGTAAAGAAAAAACTGTTAGAAAAACACACAATAGGCTGGTAGACAGTTATTTATATCAAGTCAGATAAATGCATTAAACTAATGAACTAAGTATACTTAGCTAAGGATGGCTAAGTATGTTCCCCACCAAGAGGAATGCATTACTAAATAGCACAAAGGCCATTCTTTCTATATTAATTCACTATCATTTAAATTTTTAACTAGACTGAGAAAAAAACTAACAACTCACACATGATATTTCAAGTCTATACCTACACTTCACATATCTTTGAAAGGAGATATATCAAACATATAAAAGCACAAAAGAAACTTAGTATCCTCCTGCAAAGAAAATATAGTCTCAATACTTTGTCATGCCTTGGGCATCAAAACAATAACAAATGTCACAAAAACATAAGAACTTTAAAATTAGGATCTTGTCTCATGTGTTTTACTCATTTTAAAGAAAGCTACTTGTCACATCAAAAAATGTTTTATCAAATTACAACGTCAACATTATATAACACAACAAATAAAATGCCTGATAATCTAAGCAGCAGGTGAAATGCTGTATTCTAAAGAATGCTGTGGAATGTTTCTGTACACTGTAAAGATGGGTTGCTGTCATTGTTAATAAAAAGCTGACCGACCAATAACTAGGCAGGATTTTTCAGGGCAGAGAGAACACTGAGAGGAAGAAGGGCGGAGTCACAGGAGTCTGAGGAGATGCCATGAGACTCAGAGTGAGCAAGATGGGAAGTACATACATGAGGTAAGCGTGGCTGGGGCAGCACACGGATTAATAGAAATGGGTTAATTTAAGCTATAAGAACTAACTAAAAACAAACTTAAGCTATCGGCCGAGCGTTTATAGTTAACATTAAGTCTCTGGGTGGTTATTTGGGAAGTAGCTGGAGGAACAGAAAAGTCCACCTTTCCTGAATGAGATGAGAACAAAACAAACAAAAATCACTACATAAAGAAGCAAACTAGATTGATTTCCTCTTTCTCCCCAATAACAATACTTAGGCTTCATATAAAATTGAAGGTAAAAATTTATGTATTCCTACTCATTCATGAGCTAAGTAAATGTGTAAAGGTCATGTGTATTTTAGATACTAGATATAAAACAGTAAAAAATAAATAAATAAAATCTTGAACTCAAAAGATTTTATTTCAGAGCTAGGCATGGTGGCCCAAACTTGTAATCTCAGCTAAGTCGGTTGTGAGTTTAAAGGCAGCATGGCAGCACATTGAAACCTTGTTCTACAAAACAAAATAGAACAAAACAGTCACAAAATATTAGATAGTGACAAGTGTTATAGAAACAAATAAACAAAACAGGATGATATAATATAATGTAACTGTGAGTATGTGTGGGAGCACATTCCACAGCTCATGTGCAGAGGTCAGAGAACAATCTGTAGTGTTAGTTCTCTCCTTCCACCTTTCCTGGGTTGCAGAAATCAGACTCAGGTCACCTGGCTCGCATGGCAAGCAACTTTACTCCTGAGCTGTCTCATGTGCACTTTGAAATTATGTTCTCTTCTATCCTATCCTTGGAATTCTAGAAAACCACAGAGTTGAATCTACATTTAGCTTCTGGCAGCTGCATAAAACCTTATGGTATCTATTTTCTTTTAAAATAAAAACTTCACTTTAGAATAGTTTTAAATTTACCAAAGAGTGACAAAGATAGTACAGAGTGTTCCCATACACCCCCATCCATTTCCTGTCATGAGCTTCTTATACAACAGCTTATCACAATTAATAATTAGTAATAATGATACATTATTATTAGTCAAAGTCTGTAATTTAATCAGATTTCCCCAGCTTTTACTTTTTGATAGCTATGGTAGTTATTATTATATAATTTATTATAATATTTATTAAAAGCTTGCTCTGGTGCTACCTCATCTTTTCAAAGGTTGCACTTAGAGAATAAGACAAACTCAGAAATTTCATAAATGTTCTTTAATCTTAACAATAAGCTATAAATATTTAACATATCTAAATAACATGGTACAGCTATTACCTACATTCGATTCAATAATAAACATTTTAAAAATAAATGTCCATTAGATACTATTAAAAAAACATTCCTTATATGATATATGACCAGATGTGGTGGCACATTATAATCCCAGTGCTCAGGGAGCAGAGGCAGAAGAATCCAGTTTGAGGTAGTTTGGGTTATCTGGTGAGTTTGAGGCCCAGTCAGGGCTATATTAGACTCTGTCTTTTAAAAATTCCTTATATAAATAAACTAACAAATTATCAATGAACTTAAGAAGCCTACTAACCTATTGGCTAATTAATGTCTAAAGGAGGCTTAGAATTAACCAAACTGATTTTATTGTGGTTACACAAATATACATGAGAATCACTGGAAAATGGTTTAAAACTGTAAAAATCAATACCTACCCCAAGCATTATAATGCCCATGTTCTACCTCAAGATGCTATCTCAACTAGTCTGAGATAGTGACAAAGTGCTATTTTTATTTTTTTAATTGTTTGTGTTAAATAAAAAGACACTCAGGTTTGCTGCATGTGAGACATAACTGGTAATCACAAGTTTAACATAAAATTATTCCTCTCTGGCATCAAAGCTTTTAACTCTATTAAAACTTAAGGTCTGTGGGGGAAAGAGAGAGTGAAGACATTAGTCCTAACAAATATTTTCCCTTTAAGAATTTTAAAGCTTAGAGAATGTTGAGATAACTCAGCAGGTGAAGCACTTGCTGCCAAGTTGACAACCTGAGTTCAACCCCTGGGACCCACAAAGTTGCCCTCTGAATAAGTGTACAATGTATACCCCACCACTACAACACATAAGTGAAAAAAAAATGATGACGCTAAAATCCTGTCTCAGGCTTTGTTGATACAGCTTTGTGTACTGTATAAGCAGAAAAGTTGTATTGGTCTAACTACTTCTGAACAAAGACTTTCATGGATGGAGGGGTGGATATAAGCACCGAGGGAGGAAGGCAACAGAAAAACCTTGGACTAAAACAAGTATGTTTCACAGTCCTAAGATGACGTGTTTGTCAGTTTTGTTTTTGTTTTGTTTTGTCACTGTACCAAATTTCCAAGACACACAATTTAAAAGGAAGAAAGATTTATTTCGGTCTACAGTTTCTGAGGCTTTAGTCCACAACTGGCTAGCTCAGCTATTTCTGGGCCATGAATCATGGCTGGTAGCATCTGGTGGAACACAGCAGCTCAGCGCATGGCAGAACACTAAAACACTAGAAGGGACTGAGGCCAAGATCTGTCACTCCAGGGCACATTCCCAGTAACTTGCTTGCTCCAAGCAGGCCCTAGCCTTCCTCTAAAGTTGCCACAACTTCATACAATAGTGTCACCAACTAGGATCAAACCTTTACATGAACCTATGGGAAGCACTTCATATCCAAACCATAGCAGATGACTCAAGAATATAATACAAAACCCATCACAAGCATCCAAGTTTAAGCATGAAGCAGACAATAAAAGCTAAAATACTAAAAAAAAAAAAAATCAAAACCAAAGACATGAATAATAAAGTTATAATAGTCATTTCATAGTCTGGTGTTTAAATTATTTTTCCTTAAAAAGAGATTTTTCTGTGACTAAACCTAGAAATCAACTCATCTTACCTTCGACAGACGGTGCCTGGTCCTGAGCTGAATACAGCATATCCTTGAATGCCTATCAGAAAGAAAAAATAAAATACATGAAATCACAAATTAAAGTTATATCGAAAGCACATGAGCTAAACAATTCTTTTTCACTATTCAGTAACTACATTTAGTTTTCTAAATTAAAAATATAGTGAACTATTTCAGGTAACTTTAATATTGTGCAATCTTTAAGATGAGTGCTCATTTATATACTTTAAAAGAAAAGATCAAAAACCCATTGGGTTAAGAAAATTTGGGAAATACAAGAGATTTTGTGAGTGAACTGAGGGCAGGTGGGGATGGGAACATAAATGATTAGAGACAGGGGAGCCTAGGGGAGAGTACTGAAAGAGACTACTGGAAGGGGGAGGCATTTTGGGATCAGGAAAAAAAATGGCACAAGACAATTTCCCAGGAATTTATAAGGATGACCCCACCTAAGACTCCTAGCAATACATTGCCTGAGCTGGCCATCTCCTGCGACTAGACTGGTGCCTTGGTAAATTGTCATCTAGCAACTGAGAGACACAAAATGCAGACCCACAGCCAAACACTAGGGGGGGGGTTGGGTATCCTGAAGAAGAGGGGGGGGAAGGACTGTAGGAGCCAGAGGGCTCATAGGGACTTACAGAGGCTGAAATGACAACAAAGAAGCCTGCATGGGACTGATCTAGGCCCTCTGCATATATGTAACAGTTGTATAGTTTGGTCCTCTTGTGGGACTCCTAACAGTGGAAACAGGGACTGCCTCCGACTCTTTTACTGGTTTTTGGGAACCTACTCCTCATACTGAGTCACCCTGTCCAGCCTTTGATACATGGGGAGGTACTTAGTCTTTCTGCAATTTGACATGCCATGTTTTGTTGGTACTCAGGGGAGACCTTCCCTTTCATGAACAGGAAAGAAAGAGGAGTAGATTGGAGTATAGGAACAGAAAGTGGTGGGAGGAGGGCATGGGAGGAAAGGAGGGAAGGGAAACTGTGGCTGGGATGCAAAAAGAAAGAATGAATGTAAGAAAGGAAGGGAAGGGGAAGGGGAAGGGGAAGGGGAAGGGGAAGGGAAGGGAAGGGAAGGGAAGGGAGGGAAGGGAAGGGAAGGGAAGGGAAGGGAAGGGAAGGGAAGGGAAGGGAAGGGAAGGGAAGGGAATGCCCTAATGATGGGGTTGGCTTGATGGACGAGCATATTATCTCAAGCCCGATGACCTAAGTTCAATCCTTTGGACCCAAATACTAGAGAGAACCAACCCCTGAAAGTTCTGATCTCCACATACCTGCATATGCACACTCAATAAATACAATATAATAATAAAAAAGGTCCTAAAGATAAACACTGAACCTACATAGTAAATGCAAAGAACTAGAAAAACTCTGTAGCCTGAGCTGGCCTACAAGTCATGGCAATCCTGGCTCTACCTCCTGAATGCAGGGACTAGAAGACTTGAGCCACCATACCTAATCCCCAGAAATCTTTCTATTTTAGATATAAATGTTTATTAGTGAAACTCTGAAACACTTAGGACTATAAAAAGAACAAGGATTTTATAGTTTTTCTCCCCCTAATTACATAGTAGATTAGCTAACAACCATATTTAGGTAATTTGGATAGTTACAGTATAGTTTTCCAATAAGTAGGTTGGGAACTGGAATAAGAAGCACTTCTCAGGCTAGAGATGAGAAATGGATCAGTAGGTAAGTGCTACTGTGGCCATACCAGACAACCCGAGTTCAAACCCCAGGACCCAACTTCCTGAGCTGCCCCATGACTTCCACAAATGAACTATGACATATGCTTCCCTGCCCCCAAATAAATAAACTGTTTTAAACAGAAAGAAAGAGCACTAATTTAAAGAAAAGACATATAAATCAAATATTTAACCCACTAAGTGGTTAAGGTTCCAGGGATGAAGAGCTAGCAATAAACTTGTGACTTTAACCACTTCAAGTTTCAAATACAGCTAACTACTGCCAATTCCCAAACTGGTATATAACAGAGTTCTTCAACCTTAATATAATTGACATTTGGGGCAAAATAATTTAAGAGGAGGAGTTCTCAGCATCTCTAGTGGCATCTAGAGACAGCAGCATCAGTCCTCACCTCTCAGCTGTGATGCTGCTAAATGTCTCCTGGCAAGCAAAATCACACTTCCCCAGAACCATCCTCCCACAACTTTCAAGCATATAAATACTGAAAAGGAAGAAATAAACCTCCAGAGTGGCCCACCTAACGAGTACTCACATCTAGCACATTATAGTCTCCCCAAGTCAATTTACTATTTGCTTTGCTTTAATAATTAGTCCATTACTTACACATCTATCCAAGCCTAACTAAAAAGATCTCTAGGAAAACAAGAAAATTTAAAATTCTTAAATTAATCCATCTTTGTTCACTTTGTTTCATAAAGGTGTGAGAAAATGACCTATACAAAAACTTTATGTTTAAATGAAAAAACATTCAGTAAGATTCACTGTATAGAATTTGAATAGGCAATATAATAACACCTCTGCGATATAAAAAAGAATACACTTGCATATAGTTCTTGGTAGAATAGTAGAAAGTTCTTTCCTAGGGCCTATAACTTTTCTAGGCATACGTTCTTGGTCCAGTAATGGTGCTAAGTATGAGTTTCATCGTGTGGAGTGTTACTTAGATGCAATTTGAAAGTGGTTGGTTACTCCCATGATGCTCATACCACTATTGCAGCAGTGGCATGTCCTGGCCAGCCAGTTGTCACTATAGCTCGCAGAGTCCACAGATAGGTAATTGATGACTACGTTTCTCCTCTGGTAGCATGCACAACACCTTTCATCATTATGAAAAGCTAACCAGTGAGAATGAAACTTCCAAGTCAGTACCAGCTTGATTTTCTCCATGTTCTATGACTCAAGAATGTGGTGTCACCAGAAAGTGGTGGAGGACCCCTTTAATCCCAGCACTTGGGAGGGAGGCAGGCAGATCTCTGAGTTCAAAGCCATCCAGGTCTACAGAGTGAGTTCCAGGACAGTCAGGACTACACATCTCAGCAATAGGGTAATCACAGCATGGGCCTGTAATGTTTAGAGTTAGAGGGGATCTCACTGCTAACTAATGCCAAAAGAAATAAACTTGGCACTAGATTTTTATTTGTTAGCCTATGGTACCTAGTGGGGACACTGTTGTTCTATTATAGGGTAACTCCATTTTAATTCTTTTTTTATTATTTTTCAGTTTAAATTTAGATTAGAAACAAGGTTGCTTCACAAGTCAGTTCCAGGTCCCTCTCCCTTTCCCTCCCCTCCTCCCGTGCCCTCCCCCCACCCCCCCATTATCCTCTCATTTCCCCAGGGAGGGTGAGGCCCTCCATGGGGGTGTCCATAGTCTGTCATTTCATCCAGGGCAGGGCCTAGACCCTCCCCCAAGAGTTTCGGGTGAGAGTGCATCTCACATTGTTGGATGCGAGTCCCAAGTCCGTGTGTATACTCGGGATGAGTACTGTGTATGTATATAATATATAAAATATGAACTATATATAATATCATATACATACATGGAAACTTCTATGTTAGGCTCCAATATGACTTTTTAAAAAGGTCTCTATTGTTATCTCACCCAGCATTTCCTTCTCCACCTTGTACTACTATCCCCACCCCAATTTAAATCTTCTTGCTCATTCTTCCCCTTTAATCCTTTATATCACTGCATTGTATCTCCCTCCTATGGTGGTCTGAATGAGAATGGTCCCCAAAGGTTAATCTATTTGAATGATTGATCCCTAGTTGATGCAACTGTTTTGGGAAGAATTAGGTATGGTCTTTTTGGAAAAGATGTGTCAACAGGGGTGGGCTTTTATCATGATTTAGGCCAATATTCAGTCCATCTGTCTCCCTCCCTCCCTCCCTCCCTCCCTGCCTGCCTGCCTCACTCTCTCTGTCCCTCCCTCCCTCTCTGTCTCTTCCCCTCTCTCTGGTGCTTGTGGATTAGCTGTAAGCTCTCACCTATTCCTCCAGTACCATGCCTGCCTGCTTGCTGCCACAGTCGCCATCATGATGGTCTCAGACTCACCCTCTGACACTGTAAGCAAACTCCTAATTAAATGCTGTCTTTCAAAAGCTACCTTGGTCATGGTGTCTCTTCATAGCAATATAAAAGAAACTGAGACAGTTCCCTTGAAAGTACCCTCCATGGTCCTTTACTAACTTCCTGACATCTATGGTATTTCAAATGGAATACTGAAGATTCAAATACATACATGAAAGTGAAATACTCATAAAACAAAATATTTGGATTCTTCTAAATTGGAGCCTTTAATGGGTGTGGTCTTGCCCTCAAGACACCTTTCCTATTGTCCCACTGCAAAAAAATATAAGGTTTCTCCTTAGTTGTGCTCATCTCAACAGCTGCAGATGTTTTCTATGTTGTATCCTCCTTGTTAGAACTTTAAACACACTCATACTCCTTTCCTTACCAAACCTTTTCATATCTTTCAATTCCCCTTGCTAGTCTCTATAAACCAGTATAAAAGCAGTAAGCAATAACAACAGGAGAATGCTAACCCATCTTAAAATTTCCTCGACCAAACTAGATTATTATTTTTGCTTTAAGTCTCACAACTTACCAGAATTCAGGCAAACTGAAAACAGATTCTTTGCTGGAATATAACATGAATGGCCTCTAAACAACTTCCCAATAGAATCTTGTTCCCCTCTGAAACCTTACGAGTTGTGGGTTTAGTTGATTTGTGGGAGAAATGTGCAAGTGTTTGGAGCTATGGGGGTGAGACGTGAAAGGTTATTAAGGTACTTTGCCCAAGTATTGCCAAGTATTAGTTACTTTACAGTCAACATTCCTTTGAGAAAGATAATAAACAGCTCATGATTGGGAGTAAGATCTTAACTTCCTAAAACAAACTCTTATCTTGGCCTCACATCTTTCTAATTGTTTCCACATATTTCTAATTTTTTTTCTGTATCTTTAGCTTGGTTTTGGTTTTGGTTTTCATAAGAGGTGTGGTAAACAGTCTCTGACGATTCTTGCCTCCTGGTAGTAGAGCCT